CGAGTGGCCAGGCACGCTGACGTCGACGCCTCGCGGGAGGCCACACTGGCAATCTGCATGCCCCGCTATCAAACGGTCCAGGATCGATCCTGCGCTCGTGGACAATCCGAATCGTTTCCCTATTAGATACGATCAAACGATTGAGATCGAACACGATAAACGATCCAGATTCATTTTTTCCTTAGGAGCGATCAAACGGTCGATATCAAACGCAATAAACAGTCCAGATTCGTTTTTTTCTTAGGCGCGATCGAACGGTTGAAATCGATCGTGATAGACAGCCCATATTAACGCAGGATTGGTATAAATATTTCGCATAACACAGAACGCAAACCTTAGCCGCCAGCCCCCTCCTCCCAGTCGGAAAAAAAGAATCAGACGCAAGAGGAGCCGACTCCCGACCGCCACCACACTGGAGCCACTCCGACTCTAAAAAAAGGTAAAAATTCTCTTACCTGCTCAGAATTCGATTCCGAACACCCCTGTGGCCATATCGGAGCAAAATGAATAGTGGGTGAGCTGAAAACTACGGGCAAAGTCTAGCGGGTCGTCGCGACCCAAAACTCGCAACCCCCTCTGATGAGCCCCTTCCCGGTTCCTGTTTCGTATGATATTTTCACCGTTGTGTTTACCATTCTGTTTTCTGCAAGTTGACTGAAGAGGAATCCCAGCCGCAATGGAAGCTGATGGAGCCGCCGCACTGTAACTCCATCATCGGTAAGTTTCGGTTTTTTGATTTTTTTTTAACCAACCGAGACTACCTAACATGTTTTTCAGGTATTTGTGTAAAATCGCCGAAAACAGCCAGACCGAGACAAACAGCCACTACAGGCGGCAGTGCTGTCATTGGAGTACGGCGGTGCCGTCGCCGGAGAACGGCGGTGCCGTCGCCGCAGAACGGCGGTGACGTCGCCGGTGAACGTCGGTTCCGTCGCCGGAGAACGGCGGTGCCGTCGCCGGAGAACGGCGGCGGCACCGTGCCAGAATTCCAAAATTAGCTAGAATGAATTTTTAACACCGATTTTGGATTTTACGGTATTTTTTAGGTACGTGAAGCATGTTTAATCTCCCCAAGAAAATTTAGGAAATCTGGTGACCGCTAGGAGGCGCGGTAGAAAATATGGTGTTTCAGACACTGATTCAAGTAAAAATCTCTCATCCTATTCCCTGTTATACAAATGAAGCTTAAAAATCAATAATATGGTATTTTGTGGAATTTAAAAAATTTTGTAAATAATTACAGGTTACTAATAGAGTCAGAACCGATTAATTATTTATTTGTTCTGTTTAACTAATTACTTGCTCGTACAGGTTTAAATACATAATAATATATTGAAAGAGTTAAATGATTAAGTTGTGTTTGCTCGATACATATATCGCTTGTTTTACGTGATTTACAGTTGATTGTGAAGCGTGAAATTAATATACAGATAGGAAATTATTTGATGATGTAAATTAATAAATGGTTGTCTTACTGGATGTACTGGAAGATGGTGGATGCACCGAGTACATAGGGAACCCTACCATGAATGTCACTGCATACCAGACAGGGTATTGAGGGATAGTATTTTTTGCGCTTATATCGGATAGGGTATGGGGACGGCCTGGTTCACCCTCATACCGAATGAAATATCGGGGGATGACATTTTGGCGCTCATACTGGATAAAGTATGAAAACGATTGGATAATCAATAAGTTTAAATATTAGATTCACGCGTAAGGAGACATCCCTATGAACCCCCAGAGATACCAGTAAGCATATAAAAAAATGGAAAATTATTGTTTTTATAGGTTGATTTTGGAAATCATATAACGGTAAATATGTAATAAATAGTTTTCCTTATGATAAATGAATTTATTTAAATTAAGAGCTTCATTAGTCATTTTATATTTTTTTTACCAACTTGTCGTTTCCGTATCGGTGAGTAGTGTGACATTCTTATTGAGTTAGTGTAGTTCACCCTTATTAACCATTTCAGATCAAAAAAATCAAAACCCAGATCCTGATTAGCAGGAGGGCTGTGAGTAGATGTCTCCCGGATCCCATCAAAAGTTAGTGGAGGTTAACCTCCCTACAACATTTATTTACTATTTTCATATATTTATTTTGTTTTTTTTTATAAACCGTTATGAAAGAAATATTCCCGTACTGCTATTGGGAATTCAAATTTATGTGTAAACAATGTAAATTCTAACATTATTATACGTTTCCACATTAAATTTATGAATTTATTTCTCTTCTAGTTCCGGATTGTTTCATGTGGGATGTAGTTCTTTAAGGAATATATTATTTTCCCATCGTTGCTCACATCATCCCCTCCTTGAAAAATAATGCATTCTCGAATCGGACACTTCTTATGTAAGGGTTTCATCAGTTCTGCTTTCTTTGAGAAAATGTCATTGGTTGAAATGTTGTATAAGATCATTACGAAAATCTGCAAGGAATAGTTAGTAAAAAAATAATACTCTCTCACGTATTTCACTTCTTATGTTTTATTCAATCTCCTTCCTTCAAGTTGAATGTGAGAATTGAATTTCCTTAAAAAAAAAAAAAAATTAGAGTGCGAGAAAACCAATACGAATATGATATCTTTTTGTTTTTTTTTTTTATGCGTAAGAAAGGATACAAGGTATGTTTTTTTTAATGTAAAAAATAAAAAAAAAAATATGTAAGGATAAAATATGTAAGATAGTAAGATTTATCTTGATTGTAAGCTCTGATACTAAATAATGCGGAATTTAAGATCAATTAACGTGATCAAAAACTCCGCATATAATATTAGTATTCAAAATCATAAAACTCTCAACAAATTCTCTTTATTTGACCTACGTTCAACACACGATATCAACAAAAGTAATTGGGATAGTTTGAATCGATTAAAAACGCCACAAGTATGAACTTGATAAGTTAGAAATCAATTCAAAAGAAAATTGATAAAACGCAATAAGAATTTACCTTGATAAGTTGAATAATTCTCATTCAACAAGAAGGTTGAATAAACTTAACTAGTTGAAAACTAAAACTTTATAGTTTTATTATTCTCAAACTTAATTGATTACAATTGTAAACTGAAGACTTATTTATAGAGTAAGTTATATGCATTACAAGAAAATAAATATCCTAAATTAATGGTAGAAATTATAAGAAAATTAAGTTTTGTCTTGAATGAGAAAATAATGAAAATTAAGAAGATTTTGATTAGAATAGATTAGAAAGGGAACGAGGAGGCAAGCCCCTCCATCTTCCGCACATCTTGCTCATCCGACATGGCATGAATCAACGAATCTTCTTGCTTGATCTGCAACCCAGCCGCTTGCTTCACCAGCGACTCTAGGATATTCTCTTTTTAAATAAGAGTATTTTGATTAATTGTGGAGAAATTAGGGGAAAGTAAATATGAATAATTAAGGCTGACCATTAAAAGAGTAAAGAGACCACCCGTATCTTTCTTAAACCATGGGATTTAGTTCTTTAAGGAATGATATTTGATTTTCTCGTCCTTTAAAATATCATATGATTTAGGAAGAAGTTTTCTCTTTTGGTTGATTCTCTCTTTAAAGAAATTATTTTTTCTATCCTTGCTCACATCATATATATTTTTTTTGTTGTTAGTTTTTAGTATAAATCTTTCTTATATAGTTAAGTTTTCTATTCATATTCTTTTTTTCTTGGTAAAGGGATCTCAAGACATTACCTATGTAGATCTCTTTTTAAGATATAGTAAAGTTACAATGTTTTTCATAACATGGATCAGAGCTAGGTTACTGTAAAAAAATGATGGACGTTGTTTGATGCCAAAACCCTAGGAGAGAGAAAAATGATTTACCATCTTTGTTGCCTTTTCCTAAGTGGGTTTTCCATAAGGCCAGTGTCTCTAGCCTCAAGGAACCTATTTGCTGGTGGTCCAATCACTTTGCAACTCTTCACACACTGTTGGTCATCGGCATTTGAAACTCAATAACTATCTACTCTCTATTGATTTTGGGATATTTCTTTGCTATACTTGTTGAGATTATCTTGTGGTAATTGTTGATAGTGTGTGGTTACACTGGTTTTTGGTAATTTTTTGTTTACAATGGTTTTTGGTGATTTGGATATTAGTTAGTATGTTTTAAATAACAATATGGTGCACCTATGCCAAGTGTTGGGTTGCCTAAATGTTGACATCTTGTTGATTTAGCCTCAAACGATAAGTAGACCAACTTAGATTCTGGCAACAAGAAGATGCACAAAATATGAATCTTTTGTGGATTTTCATGGGACCTCATGTTGCTGACCTATGTACTAACATTGATTCATGCAAGGAAACACATGATTATGTCAAGCTCTTGCATGCCAGCAACATGGCTCGTATATATGATTTGTCAATGGAATTGTTATGACTTCACAAGGTGATAAAAACTATTACTGAATGTTTTAATAAGGTACTTCCGAGTTTTTGATAAGTTGAATGTGATTCAGCCTATAACAGCTTATGTGGAGGCAATGCAAAAGCAATGAGAGTAATTAGTGAATATGTCCTTGCCAGGAGTAAAACCAGGATTTCATCATGGGTGCACTTCCAATAAAGAGATCATAACGCATTCTTCAAATGGTTTGGGATCATAAAATCTGGTGATCAATAGGTTTTCTGTATTGAGCCCTAAACCTTAGTTCAATGTAGATCAAAAAGGAAGAAAATCAAGGAAACAAGTTGCAAGTTTTGATCAAGACCTAAATATGCTAAACAAATCATCCAAAAAATAGGACCTGCTTGCTGTAACATAGGAGAGGAAGCACACTGACCAAAGATCTTGTTAATTAATATTATTTTGGACCCAAAATGTACATGTATAGATATGTAAGGTCCCCATGCTAAGAAAAAGAACTGTGACCATGTAAGAAGATTACATAACGTCAAATTGTAGCATAGTAAAATGTAAAATCGACAAGAAAGAAGTTTTTTCTTTTCAGTAACATAACTGCAGAATTCCTAAATGAGTTACATTCTGTAACTCAGCTATATGTTGGGATCAGTGGTTTCCTGAGGCAGCCAGAGCTATGGTTCTTCAAGGTGCTGAAATTTTACTTTATCCGACGGCTATTGGTTCTGAACCTCAAGATGAAGGATTAGATTCCCGTGAACATTGGAGGCGAGTGATGCAAGGGCATGCTGGAGCTAACTTGGTAAGATAAATTGAGCTATAAATTCTTTCATTGCAAATTATATTCTAAGCTTGAATTTTATTTGTTAATTATAGGTTATCTTCTGTGTTGTATCTATCCTGATTTTGACTTGATTTCTGTAAAAATGAAAATATTGTTGTTGTCCAGTTTTCCGTCTTGCCCTCTGGGACTAATCATTATTCCATCAGTATCTAATGATTATAATTGGAAGGATTTGGTAGTGTTATGGATGGATCAATACATTCGACGTGAAATAGTTGTCTATTGTACTTCTCTTCCAAATGGATGTCTGTTCTTTCGTTCTATGGGCTGTCTTAGTTTTTTCACTGGCTTTTGCCCATCTTGTCATGCTTTGAAGCAATTAGGCACTTGTTCCCTTTAAAAAAGTACTTAGACTGTTATTCCCCCAAAGGTGTAGCCTCAAACAATCCAAATGACGTTTTGTTAGAAAGTATACTCCAGCGTTGAATTTAGCAGTAGAAGTTAAATGCTTGTGCAGTCTCTAAAACTGTTTGCAAGAGTTAAGGGGAACTTTTCTGATTATTACACTGAAAGGATTTCCATCAATATTATCATCTACTTCTGTGCAGAGCTTCTAAATGGACCCTTCACTAAGACCTTGTTAACAGGAATTTTTTTTTTTAAATTTAGGTACCATTATTAGCTTCAAACCGCATCGGGAAGGAAATTGTTCCGACAGAACATGGAAAGAGTGAGATCACATTCTATGGGAATTCGTTTATAGCAGGTACTGAGCATGGTTGTCTGTCACATTTTTATTTAGCTATATATTGATCTATACTTACCAGTGGCCTCCCCTTCAATTGGAATTATATCTTATTGTAAATTTTTTGAGAAAAAATATAATTTTATTTTTTATTTTTAAAT